TGGCGTGGCTGCAATGAGCTGCCTGAGCCTTGGTACCATCACTATGGGGAGATTATCTTCAAGATTTCAAGCCTGGGGCCTCTGAGGTTTAGCAGATGTAGGCTAAGAAGAGATTTCAAAGGACTTGGGCAGAGCCGGTGGCAGAACTATCAAGATAACTGGTTTCTTTCCCATATATTTCAAGGTCCCTCAGCACAGCCACAGTGCTGAGCAGTTATTTTGGCGTCAGCACAAAACAGGTCACAGTAGGAGTCGATATATAAGTCCTTGGCTCATCAAAACAGGCTGAATCTGCACGACTCGAGTAACGGCCCAGCTCTGTCGTGCTGCATTTCCCTGCTGCAGAGCCTCCTGAGCTGGCTCCTGGTGAGCTGTGTGTGGAGGCGGTGGTCTGTAGCTCCTGGCTGGGTGGTACAGCAGTGCTGAGCACAATAATAATAATAACAACAATCTCCTCTTGACCCCCAGGTACTTAATTAGCCCTGCGTGACCCTTGTGCTCAGGGTGGTTAATTCCTTATGTGCACTGTGGCAAAGACACTTGCTCCTTGGGGGCAGAGCTCATCTGTGGGGCTGTGTTGAGCTCTGGCTGGTGATGGTTCCATGGCTGATGATGGTGCCGTGCTGTGTTCAGTTTGCATAGCACAAACAGGAGGTTCCTGCCGCAGCAAGCAACCAAATTCAGAGGTTTAGATTTGAATTAAATTTGCCAGCGCTAAGACTTCCTTTTGGTGCTGAGGGAGGCTTGCAGCTGCTCCCTGTTCCAGCATGGAAATGAGTCCTGAGCCCACACGTGTCGCAGGAGGTGGCAGGAAGGAGCCCTGTGGCCTGCAGGCAGACGGGATTCACCCCTCAGGGTTGGGGCTGCACCTGCGTAGGGCTGGGTGTCTGCGTGGCATGGACCTCAGTGGGACCATTGCTCCAGAGCTGGAGCTGCCACATGCAAATCGGGGCTCAGCAGATGCCCTTCTTGCTGCATGAGCTTCTGCCTGCCCGTGGCTACAGCATCTTGCTGCCAGCTTGTCTGTATTCTTTTCTGAACCTTTGACTGAAGGTAATGGTGCAGCCCTCTGCACGAGGGTTTGGGCTCCAGTCTTAGTAGGAAGCAGCCCAGCGCTGCTGTTTGACAACCCTCCTTTAGGGAGGGCTTCTCCTGCCTTCATTCAACCACAGTGCCTCTGCAGCTGCCCTCCCTTGGCTTTCCCAGCAGCAAGCACACTCATGTTGCAGGGAGCTTGATTTCCATTGCCTCCTGGCTCCTTATCGGGTGATGAATGGTGCAGCTTAATTTAAGCCCATTAGTCCATTTCCTCCTGCATGACTTCCTCTCAGCGCAGTGGGACTGGGCTAGCTGGGCTTCTGCAGCACATCTGCTCAGCATCACTGCAGCCCACACATGTTCAGCTGTCAGAAGCCCCAGCCCCACGCACGCTTGGGCTGCGCCATAGATCATTCCTTGCACAACAAAGATGTACTGTTTTTTGGTGGCAAGATCACGCTCAAATAAAAGATGCCGCTCAATTAGGCGTTGTGATAAATATACAAAGGGTTGTTTGGTTATCTGCTGTTTGCTTTGAGTCTGGATTGTGTTATCTGTCAGATAAAGAGCTGCTCTTACAGCTGTTTGTTCCATGATGTGTCGCAGTGCATGTGCCATGCACAGCAATGTCTTTTGTCTATCAGAGGGAATTAGCAATAAGGCTGATTTTTGCATGAGATACACACGACTACTGAGCTTTGGGGTATAAAGCAGAGGTCAATAGAGGAAGCAGTGCCTGTTTTATAGCTCCTTGGGCTTTCCATTGTGCTTGTGAACGGAAAAGCTGCCTCCAGAAAGGCAGTGAGTAAAGCTGATAGTCCTTAGGAAGGAGGGTGGGAATGCAACCACAGCCATTCCTTCCTAGTGCTCCCCAAAGAAGTCTTTCTGAGCGCCTGTCTGCTGTGGGAGCAGTTTGTCCCAGTGCCTGTCTGTGGCTCAGGGGTTCTCCTGCCTTTCTGTGCTGCTTGAAGGCAGGTTTTGCATTGTTTGGTTGGGTCTGTGCTGCTTTTCTGCCTGTTTTGTTACAATCAATGTGCATGAAAGGAAAAGCGCTTGAGAGTCCCTCTGAGGTTTGTCCCTTTGTTTTGCTAAAGGCAAAAAGCTCGAAGCAAACACCCTCAGGGATTGGGGGTAAGAGCATCACAGTGTGTGCCTTCTGCTGCCCATAGTTTCTGCTTGCCTGGAGAAAGCCTTGTGCGAAGGGGAGGTTGTGTGCAGATGGAAGTGTAAACACAGTATATTTATTAACTTAAACCTCGTGGTTTAGCCTCTGTTTTATTCCGTGCACCCCAAACTGGAAAGTGCAATGCATTCAGGGTGGGGATGCACTCTTGGCCCCCATTTCTGGCAGCAGGATGCTTCCCTTGCTCTTTTTCTGTGCTGGAGTTGCTGGGGAGGGCCATCACCCTGTGCATACTGCAAGGGATCTATAGGTGTCCCCTGAACCCCCCTGTGCCCATTCCTGCTCTGCTGTGACCTTACTGTCCTGACCTCTGCCTTTCCAGGTTCCCATTGAGCGGAACCACTGCATCCATGAGGATCAAAGAACCCTTCAACCTGGTGCTGCCCACCACCCCTGAGCAGCTCAGTGTTCAGCTTTGTGCCTTGGCAGCCTCAGCCCCACAGCAGGTGGAGGTCGTTGCTCTGTTAGCACAGCTGAGCCCCTTTAGAGCTGGCACAGGGCCTTGACAGACATCCCCAAACCTTTCCAATGAGGCTTGGCCATCTCAGACCAGGAAGTCCCCATGGATGTCCTACTGCAAGCCCAGGTGGCTGGAGATGTTGTCTGGCTGTGCAGAACATGGTGGCAGGGATGGAATGAGGGTTACCCAGAGTTTTGGGAGAAAAGCCTGTGATTTCACTTCTGTTTAACAGTAGCATATCATTTTTCAAAGGTTTGAGCGTTTTGGACACTGGCAAGTTGGAGAAGAGCACATCCAAACTCTGAAAAGGTTGGATACTTTGAAATCCCCATGCCACGTAACTCCCATCTAACAGCAGCAGAGCTGAATCCTCCAGCAGCCTCACCTGAAGGCTTTGGGATGCTCTGGGCAGCAAGCTTTCTACTGAGGCTCTCTGCCCTTTGAGCTTGGGTCTGTGCCATACAACAAGCTCGATGTGTAGGTACATGTTCCTTACAGCTGGAGCTGTGAATGCAAGTAACTGCTGCTATATGCAACAGGTTGGTGCAAGCTTTGTGGAGATGAAAGATGGCTCTGAGTCCTTTATGGGCTTCTTCTTTTGTCTCCTTTATCCCAGCTGATGGGTTGTGCCATGCAGCTCACACCTGCAGGACCGGGGAGGAATGTGCAGATGGGCTTTTATTGAGGTCTTCCAGAGAAAAACTGAACTTTGAAGCTGATCCCCTGGGTTAACACCCAGCTGTGTTCTCCTAGGAGAACACAAACAGCCATTCCACAACTGACACGTTTGATGTCTAAAAATGGGATTTACCATTTTGCCTGACTGATTTTCAGGATGCACTGTTCTGTTTACCACTGAAATTCATATGGCATTGTATCCCCAGGTGCACGGATACATGGAGAGCTAGGAAGAGATGAGTAGTAATGCAGAATCTCAGTACTGGCTTGTGGTTACCCCAAATGTTTTCTGCTGGGTGATTGCAGTTCTGGGGCAACTGCTCCTTGCATTTGGTGTTTGGATACTGACCAGAGTCTGGGCACAAGGCAAACACTTTGCAAGAGACACTGCTCCCAAAAAGCTTATGATCAAAATAGTCAGAAAAGAGGTGAGTGTGGTCTGCATACTGACCAGTCAGCATCTGTGCACAAGCCAGGACACAGGCAGAAATGGATATCACCTCTTGCACTTGGGAGGGATCTGTCTGTCGGGAGGGAATGTCCTTGGCCACCGTGCTATCTGCAGTGCCTCAGATCTGGCTGATAGGTGCCAGAAGGGCAGTAAGGCAGCCAGGTGAGGTGCAGACAGATGTGAGGTCTCAACAGCAGGGAGCTGTCTCTGCTTGATCAGCAGCAGGCTTAGCTTGCCACCTGCCTCCTGGCAGGCTGTCCATCCAGTTTTGTCTCTTGTGCCAGATATTTATGTACTTTGGTTTGGATAGGAGACAGAAATTAAATCCCTGCACCATCTCAGCTAATAGCTTTGCACTATCTGGCCAGTCCAGGTGTTTTCTGTCCAGCATGGAAAACAACAGCAGATCCTGTAGAAAAGAATTGAACAGAGATAAAACAAAAACTCAGCTTGCCTTCTGTTAAGCGGGGCTCAATCCTGAAGTTCCGTTTTCATTTGACAAAGCATCAGATCCAACTGTTCTATGTAATTCAGTGAGCTGGGACGTGTACTATGTATACAGTAGGAATTATGGAAGCAATTATGTGTTGATAAGGCATGTTTTATGGTACCTTTTATAGCCATTTACTTTTAGCTTGTTATCTCCCTGTGCCAAAACAAACTTTCCTAGGAATCCTATCTCTATTCTGTACCACAAAAGCTTGGTGCAGCAGATGCAGCACTCCACGGGTGTTTGTTTGTTTCCAACTGCCGTTTCAGCACATCTTGTCCTTACAGAGAGTAAGTTGCATTGTCTCACAGCGGGAACCACGGTACTGGTGGATGGCTGGGGCTGTGTTTTGTGTCCAGCCCAGGTGTGTGTGTTCTGATTGCAGATGGGAGGACTTGTGTGCACAACAGCTCGCATTCTGCTACTGCAGTAGCTGGAACTTGTGTCAAAACCCGCAGTCTTCCATGTATGGAGCCTGGCTGCAAGGACAAGAGGTTGCCAAGCCCCAGCGTACGCCGGTCCGACCGCTGCCCCAAAGGATGGCACCCGCCATCCCGCTGCGGCTCCCGGAGGGCAGAAATGTGCCCGGAACCTTTGTAGTCCTCCTCTGCGCCGGCGGACGCTCTGGGATTTCCTGCGCGCTGATTGGTCGGTGGCTCAGAGGAGCCGGCTGCTATTGGCTGAGCGGGCGGCTGTCCTTTAGCTTCCGGTGTCCCCCAGCGAGGCGCTTCCGGTCTGTGCCCGCGGCCTCACCGTGGTGTGCGGGCACCGGGCAGCCTCTGTGCGAACGCGAGCGGAAGGGTGAGGAGAGGCCTCGGCGGTTCCGGCCATGCCGCCCGTGAAGGCCGGCGGTAAGGAAGCCCTGGTGCTGCAGTGCGAGTGGGAGGCGTGCAGCTACGTGGCCTCCGCCATGGAGGAGTTCTGCGGGCATGTGGCCCAGCACCTGCGGCTGCACCTGCCCGGCGAGCAGCGGGACGAGCTGGACCCTCTCGGTAAGGAGCGTCTGCTGTGAGAGGGGGTGGGGTTACCCTGGGGAGAGCGATTCTGCCTGCTGCGGGACTCAGGCCCCATGAAGGCCTTTGTAGGTTTGTTTGCAGTGTTTGCCTCAGATCCTTACGGTCTGTTCGTCTTCTCTGTGTGTGTTGCAGAGGAATACACGTGTCTGTGGCAGGAATGTGGTTTCTGTTCCCCGGAGAGCCCCGCCGACCTCATCCGCCATGTCTACTTCCACTGCTACCATACCAAGCTAAAGCAGTGGGGACTGCAGGCCCTGCAGGGCCAGTCGGAGGTGAGCCACTGCCAGCTGGACTTCCAGAGCCGCAACATCATCCCTGAAATCCAGGAGAACTTTCAGTGCCTATGGGAGTACTGCGAGGTGAGAACAGAGACCTAGTTCTGCTTTCCTGAGTGTTGTCTGTAAGGTGCGAGCTGAGGGAAGGGGAGCTGCTTTTGCCCTGCCCATTGTGCTCTGGCACATGCTGATCTCTTTGCTCTGTTCTGTCTGTTCCTCCTCCACCAACAGAGATCATTTGATAATCCCGAGTGGTTCTATCGGCACGTGGAGGATCACAGCTTCTGTTCGGAATATAAGGCTGCTGGGAAGGAGAACCATGTGGTCCTCTGTGGCTGGAAAGGTATTGGGTGCAGGGTATCTGCAACAAATGTTGCATGGATCTGTGTGAGCAACCCGCCACACAGTCAGGCTGTAGATGCTTGGCCTATCGAGCCCTTGAGCAGAGGATCTTAATGGCATTCTGTTTTTCCTGTTCAGACTGTGACTGCACCTTCAAAGGGCGCTGCAAGCTGCGGGAGCACCTGCGGAGCCACACGCAGGAGAAGGTGGTGGCCTGCCCTACCTGTGGTGGGATGTTTGCCAACAACACCAAGTTCTTTGATCACATTCGCCGTCAGACCGCGCTGGACCGTAAGCTCCTGGGGGCAGGGGATGTGCGTGATTGTTGCTTCCTAGATTCTACACTGACAGCAAAAAGAGGGTGCACAAACAGAAGGCAGTGGTCCTTGCAAGTGGTGCTGGGTTTTTTTTCTGCTCGTTTGTGTCTTTTGGCTTTGTAATTAGTGTCTTCTATCCCTGGCTGGAGGGGAGGATTCCTAGCTCCACTGTAACTGCATCTTTTTTCTCATTTGTTGCTCTTTTCTACTCTCTGCTTTGGTCCATTTCTCACTTCTCCCTCCCCTCTCTTCCTGGTGCCATTACTGCAGAGCAGAGGTTTCAGTGTTCTCACTGTTCCAAGAGGTTCGCCACAGAGAGGCTGCTTCGTGACCACATGAGGAACCACGGTGAGTAAAGGCCCACTGTCCCAGCTGAAGCTCTGAAGTCTGTGTTCCCCCCGCTCTGAGATGATGTTTTCCCACAGTGAACCATTATAAGTGCCCTCTGTGTGACATGACCTGCCCACTGCCCTCCTCCCTGCGGAATCACATCCGTTTTCGGCACAGTGAGGAGCGACCGTTCAAATGTGACTATTGTGACTACAGGTGAGGAATGGTGCTTTCTGTACTCCTTTACTGTTGGTAGAGATGCACATGTGTGGTGCACAGTATTCAACTTTGTTCCCCGCTTTCCTCTTAGGTGCAAGAATCTCATTGACTTGAGGAAACATCTGGATACGCACAGCAAAGAGCCGGCCTATCGCTGCGAGTTTGAGGCTTGCAGCTTCACTGCACGTTCCCTCTGCTCCATCAAACTGCACTACCGGAAAGTCCACGAGGTAGGAAGGGAGCAGAGGGTGACTGCTGTGTAATCTCTTCTGGCAAGGCTGAGAAGCTCTAAATGCAGCATGGTCTGCAGAAGCATGGGAAAAAAACCTGAAGGTGCATGAAGAGCCCCAGGCTGACCAGGGCTGTAGGAATGTGAGCTCGGATTGCATTCCTTTCTTCTTGCTGCAATGACAGCTTGTTAGTCTCAGAGAACCCAATTCTTTCCTCTGTTACGTGTATGGGTACCAGCCCTTCTGGTCAGTCTTGCAAGGTGTTCATATCCCTCTCTGCCTTTCAGGGTGACTCAGAACCCCGCTATAAGTGCCATGTCTGTGACAAGAGCTTCACACGTGGAAACAACCTTACTGTCCACCTCAGGAAGAAACACCAGTTCAAATGGCCTTCAGGGCATCCTCGCTTCAGGTACTGCTCATCCTTAGCTCCTCACACCCTCTATTGCAACAGCTGGAACCACATCCTGCTTCTTGCTGGAGCCAACAGAAACATGGTATTGCTTGGGCCCTGGTATTTGCCTGGAGTGTGCTCAAGGCTCATCTCCCAGTGGCTGTGAAGCACTTGGAAACAACCATTTGTTAGGATCTGACACAGCAATGGAGCAGTGCTGCATGACAGCTCTAGCAGTGGGTCAGAGATCAGGCAGTGGTGTCTTCGCAGCTGCATCTCATGATACACCTCAGAGTTTGACAGGGGCTGGGTCCAGGTGAACGCCTAGAAAGAGCTGCTGCAGATCAGTCTCCTGACAGATGTTTTTCTGCATTCTAATTCTAGGAAATTCAATTCTAGGAAATTCCCAAAGAGTTTCCAAAACCTAAAAGCAGGGATGGGGAGAGGGTGAATTTCAAATGCTCCTAATGAAACAGAATGGGAAAAGGAGATGGAGTTGAAATATGATAAAGGCTTGGCTGAATTCTGAGTAGCTGCTACATGGGTGTGCTTTTTAGGGCTTGGGCTAGGTTTTACTTTACATTACTCTGGCGTTGGGTTTGTAGTGCTGGGCTTTGGAGCCCAGAATACGGTGCCCTTTCCTTGGCTGCTGCTTCAGGCTGTTGCCCTTCTCTTTGGGCCTGTGTTCAGGTACAAGGAACACGAGGATGGCTACATGAGGCTGCAGCTGGTGCGCTATGAGAGTGTGGAGCTGACGGAGCAGCTGTTGAAGGATGGAGAGAAACAGGAGGAGGCACTGGATGGCTCCACTGACGGTGTGGTGCTGTCTGAAGGTGAGGGCAACCTGCAGGGCATCATTCTGGAGGCTCCAACAGAGGTTCCCTCTGTGGAAAGCAGTGTGTCCGAGCCACACATGGCCCTGCTGCATCCTGCAACCTGCTCTGCCGACAGCTCTGAGCAAGCACAGCCCAGTACCTTCTCAGGAGCAGTGCAGTCCTCAGAGCAGGAGCCCAGCACCCCAGCCAACCCCATCATCCGTGTGGTGAACCGGACCAACGAGCACGGGGAGAGTGAGACTGTGTATTATATCATGGCCAGCACACTCTCAGAGGAGCGGGCAGCAGCAGGCAGTGGGCTGGCTATGGAGCTGGAGGAGAACGTCATGGACCGTCTGCAGAAGACAGCTGAAGAGCTGGGTATCCATATTGTGTGAGGTGCTAACCTGAAAACCTTGGGCTTCTGTGGGACGTGGTGCAGGGAGAGGTTGGGAGATGTGTAGAGGGAAAGGGTCCAGTGTGTCTTCAGCATGCAGATGGCTAGCTTTCTCCTCTGCCTCCTCCATAACTTGTTCTCCATGGGATGGCATGCTCCTCTTCTGCCTTCATCAGAGTGCTTCCCTGAACATCATCTTCCCTGACTTGTTCAGCCAGTGCTGTCAGAGGTGTTTGCACTGCCATTCCCATTTCACTGCATTGATCTCTATGGGAGGAGAGGACTGCAGGAAGGCACTGGCCCTTGCAGGTTACCTGCAGCATGGGGGGCTTGGGGCCTTCCTGCTTTTGTTCTTCCTTGAGTTTGCTCCCCACATTGGGGTTTGGGCTCCTGGTTGGGCAGAGTGTACTTTGGAGAGCCAAATAAAGGTCAGACTGCTGGGCCAGCCAGCATCTGGTGTCTGTTTCAGCCACATTCCTGCCAGTCGAGGGATGCTGTGGTGCCATGGTGAGGCCAAGTTGCCTAGGGCCTGCAGCGTGGGGCAAGCACTGCAGAGCTGCCAGCATCTATTGGCACATCTTGTGTGCTGCTGCTTGGTGCAGCTGCTTCCTGCTTGGGGCATGCAGTTCTACGTCCCCAGTGGTGGCACTGGAGGGCCAAGTTTAGCTTAGGCTCTTGCTGGTTGCTGCCCTGGCATGGATTTGATTTTTTGCTGCCTCCTTCTGGCCATCAGTGTCAGCTGCCTACCGTGGTTATTTTTTTTTGTTTGTTTATTTTTTCTAAATCTAAAGAGTAACCTGATCTTATGAGCTGAGCCAGTTTCCTCTTTTGTACATGATATGGACAATGTGAAGCTGGAGTGACCCTTGGATCCTCATGATGCTGCATGTGGGGGTGATGTGCCCTGATGGAGGCAGGAAAACAACCTGGTTGACTTTTCCCCTCACTTCCTCAAGCAGTTTGGCAAAAGCTGCTGGAATTCCAGGTTAATGGAGAAAATCACTTTATGCTAAACCCTTGGCCATCTGCTCACTTTCTAATTACAAGCACTGTGGGTGTGATCCGTGTTAGTGCCCTTGGCCAGGAGTGATGAGAGCAGCCCCTCGGGCCTGTGCCCTGGTTGAGATGAAGAGCCGAGTTGAGGTGGGGAGAGCCCCCTGCCCCTGATTGAGTAGGAAAGTCTTCTGGGGCTACACACAGGTTTGTAAGCAAGATGCCTTCCTTGGACTGGTGAAATGCATATGGAACCAGGCTCCTTGTGCTTGGACTGAGGCAGGGCAGGAGGCAGCTGGTTGCCCCAGCAGCTCTGATGGCATGCACTGTCAGAAGATGCTGCTTTCTCTGATGAGAGCATCCCTGGGCTACCAGCATGCAGTGTGCCCTGGCCTTGCCCAGCCTTCCCTGCTCGGCGCGTGCTCACTGTTGCTTGGCTGAGCTGGGCTGCAGATACCTTTGAGAGAAGGAACTCGTGCCAAGTTTGCATTCGCAGCATTTCCATCTTGGCTCCCTTTCCAACACATGAGCTCTGCTGCCAAAGCCGTGGCTGCACCACTGCTCTGAAGCTGCAGCATTCCTGTGCTACCCAAGTGTTTGGTGTTGGGAGTGGAGTGGTGGCTGAGAAGAGTTGTCCCTTTAAACACTGGGTCCAGAGAGGGTAATCTGCCAGGGATTATCTGATGGGGAGAGGATTGGCATCAAGAGGAGTCTCCTCCCACTCCTGGGCCCTACAGCATGCTGTGCTGTGTGTATGGAAACCAAGTTCACTTTCTCCTTGGCAGTGTTTGGGGGTGAGGGGAGGAGAGCAGTGCTTGTGCTATGGGGCTGGGTCTTCTCTTCCTCACCATGCTGGCCACGCTGGTCTCCTCTGAGCACCCAGAAGGTAACAGGGTGTTTGGGAGAAGGGTTGCTTACGGGGTGCCCTAGGGCTGCTGACACAGCAAGGAGTAAGGCCCTGTGATGGAGCTTGGTGCTGGAGAAGCCGGAGCTGGGGGCTGCGAGTGGATGTGCTCCTTGCTGCAGCAGGGCTTGTGGCTGAGCCTTTGGGCATCACCTACAGCAGGGCTCAGGGCTGAGGAGCTGCTGGAACGAGTGGTCCTCAGCCCCGCTCTGCCTTGCTCCCGTGGCACCAGGAGATCTGGATACCTACTGGTCCGGCACTGCACCCATCTGCATGGGGGGCTGCAAGGGGAAGCATAAGGAGCTGAAGAGGAGCCAGTGTGGGAATGGCAGCTGCTGCTGGCTGGGCTACAAGTCCTTCTGCCGAGGTACGGCACTGCAGGGACGTGGGGGGGCTCTGGGAGTGCATGGGGCAGGTTTTGTGCCACGCGTGTGTGGAAGCTCTCCACGTTCCCATCCATGCGTGTCCCACCGAGCCGCCTGCCCACGGGAACCTCCCCATCCCCAGTGAACTGCGGGAGGCCTGAGGCAGACTTCAACTCAGTGGTGTTTGGCAATGACTGGTGGGTGGGCTCCGTGGTGCGCTACAGCTGCCGGCCCGGCTTCATGCTGCTGGGGGACCCAGCCAGTGCCTGCCAGTCTGATGGCCGCTGGACACCCAAACCCACCTGCCTCCGTGAGTACATGGGGTGGGATGGGTATTGCTGTTCTGGCAGCCCACCATGGGGAGAAAGGGCTGGTGGATACACTGGGGGTTTGCTCCAGTCCTGCTGTTGCAGGGATCTGCCTGCGAGGTCGGATCGAGATCAGTGAGCGGGACATCAGTGGGAGCTGCTCGTCGTCCTGCAGCACCCAGAGCAACCTGGGAACCTCCCTGCACCACGGCTGCATCAAGATCTCCTCCTGCAGCACCAAACGCTCGGGCTGGGCGCGCTGGTTCCTGCGCTGCGATATCTGCGAGTGCGACTGCCATGTGCCCTGTGGGGAGACCCAGTAGCAGCACCCACCTCTGGTGAAGGGCTGATGCTGCCCTTAGGGAAGGGGTGGCTGCAAGCTGGGGGCTGCTGAGCAGCTCAACATCTCTGCTGTCCTTACAGTTTCTCCTGGTAGAGCTGAGCCTTCTGCACTGAGATCTGCTGGCCACGCATCTCCAGTGCTGGGCTCTTCCTTTCCGTAATTTCCATCCATCCTGAAGCTGTTATCTGGAGAAGAGGTTTGGGACTTGCTGCCTTCCTGCCTGGCCCCATTACATGGCATGCAGGGAATGCTGTGGGCAGCAGGAGCAGGGCAGCTGCATTGAGGACTTGGAGACCTCGGTGTCTCTTCCTGGCTGCTCCCTGGAGAAGGCTCACATCCTCTTCTAGCAGGGAGGCAGCACTTTGCCTGTCCTGCAGGCTGCCATTTCTCTCTGCCAGCTATTTCCTGCCCCTGTGTGCAGTCAGCAGGGCTGTCCTGCTGCTCCATCTGTGCAGACAGGGTGTGGGGGCTGCTGTGCGTGGTGCCTGCAGGCTGGGGCTGCTCCTTCCTGCAGTGATTTGCTCTGACCCCCCATCCTCCCCAGGGACATCTCTGGGTAGCTGATGCCTTGCAGCCAGAACAGGTAAGGAGATGCCAGGAGCTGTTCTAAGTGCACAAGACCCCTCCTTGGTCCTGGGTTCCTTGGGATCCCAGCCCTGAGCCCTTCATTCTGTCCCATGTCCCCTCATGTCCCACTGTCATGATGGTCTCTGGGTGCCACATGCTCCCCAGGGACACCCTGGATCCCTCTGAAGCAGCAAATGGAAGAACCAAAATTGTTATTCTATGGGGAAGAAGAGGGGCAGGAGCATGTGTAATGGGCAGCACCACCACTACCACTGTGGGTAATTAAAAAAAAATTGTTTACAGGAAATGACACAAATTTGCAGTTATGCACGGAGGTTCTGCTGCCTGCTCCATCCCCGCAGCCCCACACAGGGAGGGCAGGGCCAGGACCGGCTCTCCAAGCTCCAGATGTGAGCATCCTGGCTCAGGAGGCAGCATGCTGAAATGGCCTTGGGATGAGCCCAGCACCTCTTCTGCTCCACGAGGAACTGACTGCAGGCCTTGGTGTGGGGTTGACTCTGATGTTGCACCCTCTCCAGCACCCTCTGCCTGAATCCCACTCTTAAAGGGCCAGATCCCTGCCCCCAGCTCTGTCCCAGCCCCGATCTGGCTGTGGGAGGGAAAGGATTTCCTTAGCTCACCAGATGGGTATTTTAATTAATACTGTTGTTATTTCCATATGTCTTTCATGTTTAAGTGCTGTGGTGGGTGAGAGGTGTGAGCGACAGCACGGGGACAGCATGCAGGGAAGTGGGTGCTAGGGGCAAGCTGGGGGGTTGGCACCCTCCACCCAGGACCCTGGGGGGGGCGGCTGTGCCCCCTTTTGATGCTTGCTTGAGCAGTGCTCTGCCATCATTGCACCCTGCTTGTGCCCTGTGGTGGAGGCTGTTGGGTGCAATGCAATGCAGTGCAGTGCAATACAATGTAATGCAACGCAATGCAAAGGCAGCTCAGTGCGTGGCTAGGTGAGCCCTGGGAGTGGGCTTTGTGGTGAGGAGCCGTGGGTGTGGGCTCTGTGCTGTGTCAGAGGTGCAGCGGTGGGAACGGAAGAACGGGGGCTGCCAAATCCCAAGCTTTGCAACCGGGAGATGCTCGAGGCCTTCTGCCTGACACGCAGAGCAGAGTGGGGAAAGGAAATAAAGCCGGTTCCTTTAAGAGGGTTTTTCGCCGCCTGGCAGCGCCGTCCGAGCAGCCAATTCCCACCGTCCCGACACACAGCGGCAGCCGAGACAGCGCCGGCGGTGGGGGGCACCGACGGGTCCGGGGCACCAATACGGGAGCGGATAACTGCACGGAACCGGTCCTCCCACCTCACCGCCCGCCCCGGCCCTGCCCAGCCCAGCCCAGCCCTACAGAGGGATGGGGAGCGCATCCCGGCTGGGGACCCGCGGGGGCAGCGCTAAGCCCGGGGAGCGGCACTGAGCAGCGGCCGCCGCCCGTTCTCCTCCCCCGCGGTCCATCGGTGCGCGCCGGGGGCTGCGGGCGCTCGGCCCCGCCGCGGGCATCGCCCCTTTGTCCGCAGGGGGGTGGGGGGGAAGCGGCGGCGGTGGCGCTGCGGCAGTGCGAGGAGCGGCGGAGGCTGCGGGGAGCGGAGCTCGAGCTCGTACAGGTGAGCGTGCGGAGGGTCCGAGGGGTTGGGGTCCGGCGGATGGAGGGAGAGGAGATGGAGGAGGAGCGGCCCCGGAGGAGATGCTCTCGCCGGTAGGGGTGGGGTGGGGAGCGGCTCGAGGAGTCAAGGTGAGCCCGAGGGCGGTTTGTGGCTCCTGCAGCCCCCCGTCCTGCTGGCCCTGTGCCCTACGGCTGTAGGAAGGGGGAACATAAAGCGTTCGGAGGGAGTGGGGGTGATGGGATCACACAGCCCTCGCTCGCCCCTTGTCTCCCCTAGGGCCGAGGCTGGCTGTTTTCCAGCCCTGAAAGAGATCTGTCTGCATCGGGGAGAGGGCTGGGAAGATCTCGGCGCAGCTCCTCGCGAGGCCATCCTCCCCTTCCAGGGGATTGTGTGTGTGCATTGCAGCTGCGGCGAGGAGCTGCCTGCAGCCTGCGGCTCAGCAAAATGTAGGTTAGCACGGCATTAGGACCCCGGCCCTGCAGGGGAGGGGGGGCTGCTGATCTCAGCAGGGCACGGCTCAGCCTTCTGTCCTCAACACAATGAGGGACCCCCAGCCCCATCCTCATCTGGGATGCTGCAGAGGGTTTGGGGTGCAGCGTGTTTCCCACCCCACCTGGCTCAGCATTCCCCCAGCTCTGCAGAGCCCTCGTGCCAAAGATTGAGTGGCTCCATCCCTGCATGTTCCCTACAGAGCAGCACGATGGCAGAGAAAGGCATGGATCCTGCGTGCGTCTCCATCGCCCTGGAGGACACGGTTTGCCACGCCGGCCCCCCGGACGCCCCGCTCCTCACCACCCATTTGAAGAAGGTGGAGAACCACATCACAGAGGCTCAGAGGTTTTCCCACCTCCCGAAACGCTCAGCTGTCAACATCGAGTTCATTGACCTGTCCTACTCCGTGCGCGAGGGCTCCTGGTGGAGGAAGAGAGGTAGGAGCTGCATGTGGGTCTGGGGACCCCTGAGGCTGCCACATCTCCCCTCCAGTCTCCTCTCATCTCTCCCAGACCCCCCTGCCATGGGTCCATCCCTCTTTGCTGATGCAGGCAGCCGTGTCTCAGCTCTGCAGGATTTTGTCTGAGTGCACAATAGTGGGAAATTCCGGAGCTGCTCACCCTGCTGTCCCCTGTGGCCACCCAGCCCTGTGATCCCCAAAACCAGATCCCATCCCAGAGGTCGTATGGGGCAGGCAGGGCTGTTGCTTGGCTTGGGGCTGACAAGATGGATGGGTTTACTCAGTGCTGCTGTGCTGGCAGTAGGAGGCCCCAAGGGGTGTCCTGATGTGCAGAGGGGTGCTGGGCTTGCAGGGGGTTTCCTCTTTGGCAGTTCCCTCTGTGTGACTGCTGCCGACAGCTTAGGAAGGGGAGGCAGATGGCAGCTGGTGGGTGGTAGTCAGCTTTAATTAGCCCTGTTAGTTAATGGGATGCCAATCAGGTTGGCCCTGTGAGGGGGGGGGGGGGGGGGGGGGGCTGAGCAGGGTCCTGGGGTGAGCTGGTTGAGGGTGTGGGGTCCCTGCTGCTTCCAGCTAAGCTCTGCAGCTGGGGAAACTGAGGCACTGATGGACAGCAGGACCAGCCCAAAGCCCCCAGGGTGAGCTCTGCCTCCTTAGATTGCTGGGAAGCAAAAGATAGAGGCTGGAACTAGGGCTGCCTGGAGTGTTTGCATGCCCTGTGGTGGGGACAGACTTGGGGCAGCTGGAGCAGAGGGCTGCTGGGACTGTGGGGTTGCACAGGACGGATGCTCTTCTCCCCTGGACCGCACACAGGAACTGGTGTGGAGCTCCAGGTGCCTTTGTGCAGGATCCGGCCGTGCTGCCGCGCGTTGCTGAAGCAGGAGGTTACTGGCAGTCAATGAACGCGAGTAACCGCTGCGCAAGCTGCAGTGGCACCGACGTGAGCAGCATGCGCTGCTGGGGCTGTGTGCTGTGCTCACCCTGCTGCCGTCACACACAGCATCCTGCTCACACCTCCCAACCTCCAGGGCCCTTCTCCTGGGTGTGCCTGACCCCAACGGGTGCTGCTGGGGCACAGGAAGATCACAGTGCTGGACCCCTTCCCCTCCTATCTCCTCCTGCTGCTTTTGCTGCCCTGATCCTGAGGCTTGCCCTAGTTTGTGGGTATGGGATGGATGCGTTGTCCTCACCCGCTGTCAGCTGATCCCATGGGGCAAGGGGGTGTATTTCTAGTAGGGAGATGCTCAGACCTGGTCCGTGGTACCATGCAAACCACAGCTCCCCAGGCAGGGCTGTGTTTCGGGGCAGTTTCTGACAGCCTGAGGCTGTGCCTGTTCCGTGCTCCCGACACATTGCGTTCCTGCTGCCAGAAAATGCTAATCAGCTGCCTTTAAAGCAGAGATAATTCCAGGTCTGATTAGCAGTGGCTGCTGCTGAGTGTCATGGCATGAATACCAATGAAGGCAGCAGCCAGGCTTCTGGTGGGCATGGGGACACTGCTGCCCCATGGCACCCTGCTCCTCACTGCCTGGGGACCAGGGCAGTACCACAGCCTGGTGGCCTTCCTTATGCTGTGTCCCAGGGGTTTTCTGATCTTGTCTGCATTGGAAATGGATGAGCTAATGGGGAAGCAGGGACGGGGGTTGTACTGGGGGTGACGGCCATGATGATGCTGGTAGAGGTGGTCCCTTGGCACAGCACATGGTCCCATTGCTGGAACCCATTGCTGGGGTCCCATTGCAATCCCACCATTCTTCTCTTTTCTTCCAGGCTACAAGACCCTCCTCAAATGCCTGTCAGGGAAGTTCTGCCAACGAGAGCTCATTGGGATCATGGGGCCATCAGGTGCCGGCAAGTCCACGCTGATGAACATCCTGGCTGGCTACAGGTGGGGCTGGAGGAGGGGTTGGGGGAGCGGGGCTGGGGGCTGTGTTATATCCTCCCTGTCCCATAGGGAGACGGGAATGAAGGGTCAGATCCTGGTGAACGGGCGGCCGCGGGACCTGCGCACCTTTCGCAAGATGTCCTGTTACATCATGCAGGATGACATGCTGCTGCCACACCTCACCGTGCTGGAGGCCATGATGGTGAGCGGGGCTGCAGGGTTTCCTGGGGCTGGATCCTCAAATAGGAGCTTCCCAAGGGCTGTGGGATGTGGGGATGAAGTCCTGCCCTCGCCCTTGTACCACTCAGCTGGGGATGAGTGCAATACCTCAGTGGCCTACATATGACGTTCCCATTGGAGGTGTTCAAGACCAGGTTGGATGGGGCCCTGGGCAGCCTGGTCTAGATAGAAGTGGATGATCCTTGAGGTCCGTTTCAACCCAAGTCACTTTACGATGCTTTGATCTCCCTGTTCATCTTCTCCCTGCAGGTCTCTGCTAACCTGAAGCTGAGCGAGAAGCAGGAGGTGAAGAAAGAGCTGGTAAGTGAAGAGGAATGTGAGTCCAGGGCCCGTTGTCTTACTTTAAGGTGGGAACAGTGGAGAAGGGAAGGAACCATGGACCCTCAGTGATGGGGACGTGGGAGGAGGTGATGGGGAGAGGGTGAGGGTCCATGGGAGCTCATGGTGAATGACATCCCTCAGGTCAATGAGATCCTGACAGCCCTGGGGCTGCTGGAGTGCTCCTACACCCGCACCATCTCGCTGTCGGGTGGGCAGCGCAAGCGCCTGGCCATCGCCCTGGAGCTGGTGAACAATCCTCCAGTCATGTTCTTCGATGAGCCCACCAGGTGAGACTGCAGGAGCTTCCCAGCAGTGGGGGACACCGGGGGGGACAGAGCCCTTTGGATCCAAGAGGGGCTGTGGGACACCAAGGAGACTGGAGGACAACAGGACTGGGGCTGCAAAGGGATGTTCTTCTCCATCACGCAGGGTGCCCACGTGGTGGTGGAGGTGTCTTGGAGATTTTCTTCTCGCTTTCTCAACTCTCTCCTTCTCTCTTTGCCATCTCTTTCTCCTCTGCTCCATCCTGCAGTGGTCTGGACAGTGCCTCCTGCTTCCAGGTCGTCTCCCTGATGCGCTCCCTGGCTCAGGGCGGCCGCACCATCATCTGCACCATCCACCAGCCCAGCGCCAAGCTCTTTGAGATGTTTGACAAGGTTTGGGCTGGGGCACAGGGCTCTCTGGGGAGCAGGTCATTCTGACCGTGCAGAGAGGCCATGGGAGGGGTTGGTGCAGGCAGCTGACCTGGGCTCGTGTTACTCACGGCCCTGATGATGGGATCTGGAGTAAGTAGTGGTGCTCTGGCTGCTCTGCACCTGCCCTATTGCTGATTTCTCTTACAGCTCTACATCCTTAGCCAGGGCCAGTGCATCTTCAAAGGCGTCGTGACCAACCTCATTCCTTACCTGAAGGGCCTTGGGCTCCATTGCCCCACGTACCACAACCCCGCTGACTTCAGTGAGTGGCCCCTCCTCAGCTCAGCAGTGTTGGGGAGGGTGGCGAGGTCCAAACCCACGTGGCGAGGTCCAAAGTCATGTTCCCCCCATTGGATGCTGTGCTGTGGGTGGTGTGGCACTGTGGGGTGAGGGCTGCACTGGGGCTGACCTTGGGGAATCTCAGTGACCTGAGCAGTGTGATAGTGAGGGCTGGCTCAGTGCTGCTTTTGTGCTCCACAGTTATCGAGGTGGCCTCAGGAGAGTATGGGGACCTCAACCCCGTCCTGTTCCGTGCTGTGCAGAATGGCATGTGCACCATGGCAGAGAAGAAGAGCAGCCCCAACAAGGCGGACTCATCGTGCCCGGCGCACTGTGTGACGGTGAGAGCCCAAGAGGGGACACCATGTGGGAGGTGATCCCTGTCCCTCACCTGCATCTCTGACTTTGAACATCCCTTTGCAGGATGTGGACCACATCGAGAGCCACACATTCGCCACCAACACCTCCACCCAGTTCTGCATCCTCTTCAAGAGAACCTTTATCTGCATCCTGAGGGACACGGTGAGGGCTGAGCCAACACTAAAGGGATGGGAGTAATTTGCTGGGGGCAAGCAGAGCTGAGTGGGGCTCAACCTTCTCAGGGGTGCTCAGGGGACGTGGTCCTGCCCCACTGATCCCCTCTGCCCACCCATAGGTGCTGACCCACCTGCGCTTCATGTCCCACATCTGCATCGGGGTGCTGATCGGGCTGCTCTACCTGCACATCGGCAACGACGCCGGCAAAGTCTTCAACAACACTGGCTTCCTCTTCTTCTCCATGCTCTTCCTCATGTTCGCTGCGCTGATGCCCACCATCCTCACCTGTAAGGAGCTCCTCGCCCCACTGCTCCCACCCCTGGGTGTGCAGGGGGGTTGTGTTTGTGGGAGGGGTCCAATGGATGCTGTATGGTGGAGACAGCTGAGTTGGTCCAAAGTGGGGCAATAGGATAGAGATGGAAAGGGTACAAAGAGAAGGGTGGAAGTGTTTGCATCACTTGGAGTAAATCCCCCCAGTTGCCATTTGTTTACTGTCTGGTTCATTTATTGCCATTGTTTACCGAATGGCTCTAAGCAGTGTACTGGAATTTATCTATTTACTTATTTTGCTGAGAAACTGTCTGCACAGCTGCGTTTTCAGCTGCTTCAGATCTCCCTTTCACTTCCTCAAAAAGCCTGAGCAAAACCCCCCTGGCTGAGCTGACTTGTCCATGTGAAGGTTCCCCTCTCAGTTTCTGTCCCTGGTGAAGCTCCCATCCGTGGGCAGGAGGCTGCAGGGTGCATTGGCCTGGGGCACTGCCAACTCCTTCCTTGCTTCACCACAGTCCCCCAGGAGATGTCTGTATTCCTGCGAGAGCACCTGAACTACTGGTACAGCCTGAAAGCCTATTACCTGGCCAAGACCATGGCAGATGTGCCCTTCCAGGTGAGCACTGGCCCCTTGGCATGGCCAATTTCCAATGCCCTGGATGGACTCCTTGGACTCTCCACCCCTGAGGGAAGGTCTATGGGACCAGAGCAGCCACGGGTCCAGTGTGTAACTCTGCTCACCCCTTCCCAGGTGATCTGCCCCATTGCCTACTGCAGCATCGTGTACTGGATGACAGGCCAGCCTCCCGAGGCCACGCGCTTCCTCCTCTTTTCTGCCCTGGCCACCGCCACTGCTTTGGTGGCCCAATCCCTTGGGCTTCTCATCGGTGCTGCTTCCACCTCCCTGCAGGTCAGATTTTGCCCATGGTGTGGACGTGGGTGTCCCAGAGAACCACATACGGGGAGTGCCATGGGTCACAAATGGGGATATGGCACCCAATGACCTCTGCTCCATAGGTAGCCACTTTTGTGGGACCCGTCACTGCCATCCCTGTCCTGCTCTTCTCGGGCTTCTTTGTCAGCTTCAAGACCATCCCCACTTACCTGCAGTGGAGCTCCTATGTCTCCTACGTCAGGTGGGACCGCACACTCTGTCTGTGGGGTGGGAGTGGGGCCGTGCGGGGCGCGCAGTGACTCTGCTTTGCCACAGGTATGGTTTTGAAGGCGTCATCCTCACCATCTATGCCATGGAGCGCGAGGACCTGGAGTGCCTCGAGGACTTCTGCCCTTTCCAAAAACCCATCAAGATCCTGCAGGAACTGGACGTGGAGGAGGCCAAGCTCTACCTGGACTTCCTCATCCTGGGCATCTTCTTCATCATCCTGCGGCTCCTGGCGTACCTGGTGCTCAGGTACAAAGTCAAGTCGGAGAGATAAAGGGGCCACAGGACCCCAGAGCTGCCCCTGGGCTTGAGCTGCTGCATGGCAGCCATGGACCACGTTGGTAGGTGCCAGCCAGGCCTGGCTCAGTCGAGAAGGGTTTTGAGACATCTCGGAACTGTTTTAACCTTTCCACGCACTCTTCATGGCAAACGTTTTGTACAGCCCCACCACGTGTCCCCCCCGTTCTGCCTCACCCCACGGAGCTGCATCCCTTCACTCAACCTGCCTGCCTGTGGGGGATAGCAGGGATGGTCCCATGGAGGCAGAGAGAAGCAGGAGAAGGAGAGGCGCTGGGGGTCCGAGCCACGTGGGGACACACACAGAGCCATCGCATAGAGAAGAGCCCCAAGCCACCAAGGCTTCTGTGTTTCCTGCTGCTGCAGCCACAGATTGCTGCCTCCCCTTTTCCTTTCTGCTTCAATCCTCCCTTTACTTATTATTTTTTTCTTTCTTTCTTTTGCCTCCTTTTTAATTTTGAATTTAATTTTGAAACCCCGCTGCTTTCAGTCCGCATGGAGAGGAATGGGAGCAGGGGGCAGAGGACTCGGGGCTCTCCTCTGCTGCTGCTCAGTGCCATCCTCAGGGCTGGCCTCTGCTATCTGGGGACACAGCAGTGTCTGTGGGAGTGGGACACTGCTCTCAGATCTCAGGGGGTGTCACGTTCAGTCTTTGGGATCTGAGCCAAGAGGATAAAAGTGAGCGATACAAAGAGAAGCGGCCGTCCCATCAAACCCCGTGTGGAGCACTGTGACATCAGTGGAGCTCTGCTGGCCTCTTCTTCCCTTTCCCCAGCACAACCACGCAGGATGGGAATGACCCTCCTTCAGCAACAGCTGTGTGCTGCCTGCAGGGAGGAGATGAAGACTGTGGGCACCCACCCATTGCAGCAGGACTGGTGGGTAAGAGCATGGACAAGTGGGTCCCAGTGGTGCCAGAGCTGGAAGGCAGGTGAGATCTGGGAGCAGTTGGTTTGCATTGAGCCGCCTTGATGCTGGGACTGGTACCAGGAGAAGGCATCTTTTGGTGGTTCCCCCAAAGCCCTGCACCCCTCAGGGCATTTTAGCACCTCGTTGGCTTTCCAAAGGAGTGCAGCTGGTGAGGACAGCACGCTGGCACTGCTGTCATGCGGCTGCATGGCTGCTACTGGAGCCCACTGCCTGCTGGTGAGCATGGACATGGCAGGGGATTGGACTGCAGAAACAAGGACAGATTGCAGCAATATCCTCTGAACTCTTCTTCCCTTTTCCTGGTTTGCTGGGACTGCTCTGCACTGCAGGGGCTGGCTGGAGGGCAGAGATGGAGCTACTGCTGCAGCGGGGCTGGGTTTCCCCTGCATGGATGTGAGGAGCTCGTGCATAAAGGCTCTGGAAGCAGGATGTGCCCTGATGCTCTTCCAGTGCTGAGCATTGGGGTTTCCCCAGGGGATCTCAGCTGACTCATTGCTGTCCCCCACAAAACTTCCCTCTGCTCCCAGATCCACCTTCACTATCCCTGTGCTGTGCAAGGGGTGGGAGCACTGCTGGCACCCACAGCTGGGGGGACACGGGGAGCAGTCACCACATCTGCTGTGCCACCAGGGGATGGCAGAGCTGCTGCCTGTCCCCCACCTCCATCTCATGTCTGTGGGGCTGTTGGGCTATTTCAGTTCCCCACTTCTGCCCTGCTCTTGGATTGCAGTGTGAGGTCGAGGGAGATCCGTGCTGATTTTTGCCCTGTCCAGGATGTGTGCAGTGAGGATGCACTTTATTGGAGCGGGGGAGTGGAACTCTGGGTGCTTCTGGCTGCAGGCACCCCTCCAGGGAACGCGTCTGGATAATCACGAGGAGTGTGATGGAGGAGAGCAGGCTTCTTCCCCTCCACCTCCTCTCCCTTCCCACCCCCTCCCTCCCCATGCAATGCACTTTGAGTGCATTAGGATGAGGTTTGAGCTGTGGCTGCAGCTCTCTGAGCTCTGAACCTCAGCCCATCTTGAACCGATTCAGGCTCAAAGGCTCAGCTGGGATGGCTGCTGCTGGGGTGGGTGTGCTGGGAACAGCCCCCAGCATGCTGCCAGGCACACAGGGACTCGGCCTCTCCCCTCCACGCATGTCCAGGTCACCTTTGTCACATTCACATGAGAAGCAAAAGCATCCTCACCCTCTGGGGTTTGTTGGAAGGGACAGCAGGGCGGCACAGGGGGCAAAGATCTGCCTGCGGGGTCTCACCCACCCCAAGCAGGCAATAAAGCAGTGTTTCATTCTCGCTGTGTGTGGACACCATCCATCCTGTCCCGCTGGGGGTCTCCTGCTGCCTCCCTGCCCCCATGTGCTGTGTGTGGTTGTGCTGTGCTGGGGTGTGCATGTGGGGTCGGGGTGAGCCATTACCAAAATAACATGCAGACAGCAGCTCAGAGCCCGAGGGAGAACTGCTCATGGGGCTGTGGCTCTGCTGTGCAAGGGCTTTGCCAGCAGTGGGACCTGCAGCTTTGCAATGGAGATGCATCGCTGCCCTGCAGAGGTGTGGCCAGGCCTGGGGGAGGGGGCATGACCTGGGCTGTGGGGGGAGCACGGGGCTGCTGGCAGTGCTGCCTGCAGGTGAGTGCCCTGTGTGTGGGGAGGGGGGGGTCCTGGCTTGTGAGCAGCACTCGTGGTGGTCGGAGGGTTGCCATACAGGTGGAGGGGTCGCAACTTGTAACGGCGTTTCTGAGCTGCCAGCTGTACTTGTTGGATTTCACACATCAATAAAACTTATATTTATAGCGTACCCTTCGGTTCCTTCCGAGTGGGCGTGGGGTCCGCCTGTGTCGGGATGCTGAGATGGCCGTGTGCTGCTGGGTGCCGGGATGCAGAGGGATGCGCAAAGCTGTGAGCGCGGGCTGTTCTCCCCAGGCAGCAACCCAGCTTTCGGCACCACCTCCCGGTATTACAAAAGCAGCTCTGCCCCCGGGCTCGTGGATGCGTGGCTGGACGCACGGCTGCGGCTCTGCTCCCGGCCGCCGTGCGGGGGCGAACCGGGCCGTGCCGTGCCGTGCCGGGGCGGTGCTGCAGGAAGTCACCGCCACTTCGGAACCCTTCCCGGCTCAGGGAAGCGAAACGGGGCCGCGCTGCCCCAACCAGAACCCCGGGGAAGGCGGCGGACGGTGGTGGCGGAGCAGAGGGAGGGCTGGGAGCCGGGTAAGGTGAGGATGGCAGAAAGCAGCGCGGTTCGAGCCCTGCTCGGCCTCTGCTTGGCTCATCGTTTCCTGCGCGCTGGAGTTTTCTCACCCTCCCCTCCCCCCCCGTGCCTCAGTTTCCCTACAAGCCGGACGCGCAGCGCGTGAGTCGGCGGCGGTTCGGCCCCGTCCTGCGGTGGGAGGTTGGGAGGGCAGCGCGTCCTCGGGCCGCCCTCGGGATCGTCCCGAACTGCTCAGCCCCTCGTCCGCAGCTGCAGGAGGGCGGGGAGAGCTGGGCTTGGCGCTGTTGCGCTATAAAGCTTTTAAAAAGTCGAGCTCCTTCCTCTCCAGCGCTTTTTCTCTCCGGGATGCGGTGCTATAGCTGAATCCAGGCTGATGACTTTTGGCCGTGGACCAGGAGGTAATGTTCCTCTGCCACTCGTGCCCCCAGTGAGTTCTGTGGATTCTGGGGGTAGGTAGGCTCACCCTGCAGGTGAGGACATCCTCAGTGCCCTGCTCCTTCTCAGCTGTCTGCTCTCTTTCAGGCAGAAGATGTCCCGAGCCATGCAGTACCACGGCTGGCTGCCCTGGGGCAGCTGGACACGGCTGTGTGGGTCCCAGCCTGGCTGCAGGGCAGCACGGTGTGTGTACCTCTGTGCTGCTTCGGGGCCAGGTGAGCTGTGACCCCAAAGCCACCTCGTTCCCAGGGTTGCGGTGTCCCTGCTGGAAGTCCATCCCCAGCTCTACAGGAGAGCCTGGGCAGTCTGTGTGTCACCTCTGCGGGGTGCTGAGCCACTGAGCTCGGAGGTGTGAGCTCTGCTGGGCTGGGGGAGACTTCTGGTCAGTGCAGGAATGCTTCATCCCCACAGGTGCTGCAGGCAGCTGCTTCCACAGGAAGATCCTCCATGTGGGTGGCACCTCCCTCCCCAGGTACAGTGGGATGTGGGTGGCTGAGCTGCTGCTTTGGGACCTTGGGGCTCTGTAGGCAGAGATGCTGCTTTGCCTGCACTAGCAAACCACACAGAGCCAACTCCTTGCCACTCTGAATTCAGCCCTTATCTGGCACTGCCTCATGGTGTCCCACCCTGCCCTTGGGGCTGCTGGCCCCTGCCCACCTCCCGATGCTTTCTTTCCTCTAGAAGGAGCTGTGTTCGGTACAAGGGAGGGTCTCAGGAGAACCGAGCCCAGCGCAGCTCCTCCCACCACGGCCTGGACCATCTCAGGAACGTGGCCTCATCTGGTAAGCTTGCCACCTTGTGCTGAGGAGGATGGAGGGTCCTGCACAGCTGCTGCCTTGGGCAGTGCAGGGTTCTGCCTCCTGCCTGCGCTTTCCCAAACTCCTGCCAGCAAGAAGCCATTGTATTGCCAAACACCTTTTTCCTCCCAGATGCTATTAAGAAACACCAGAAGAGCCTGTCTGCGTGGTTCAGCAACCAGCCCAACGAAGAGAGGCAGTTTGGCCCTTCCTTCTCACTAGACGCCGTCCACGTGGACCCAGTGATCCGGGAGAGCTCCCTGGAGCAGATCCTGAAGCCCTCACCTGACCTGACCATCCAGCACCAGCTCCAGCAGCCCTGCAGGCAGGTCATCAGCCTCCAGAATCTCTTTGACGTGGATGCCTGTGGGCGGCAGGTGAAGAACGTGGTGCTTTACGGCACCGTGGGCACAGGGAAGAGCACCCTCATCAAAAAGATGGTGGTAGACTGGTGCCATGGTCTCCTACCCCGCTTTGAGCTGGTTATCCCCTTCTCCTGTGAGGACCTGTCCTATAGTCACGTCCCTATCTCCCTGAGACGCCTCATCACCAAGAAGTACCAGCACCTCCGGGACGTGGTGCCGCTCCTGGGCTCTTCCAACCTCAAGGTGCTTTTCATCCTCAATGGGCTGGAGCGCCTCAACTTGGATTTCCGACTGGCTGGCACCGAGCTGTGCTGTGATGCCAATGAGCCTGTGCCTCCCTCTGCCATCGTGGTCAACCTGCTGCGGAAATACCTCCTGCCAGAGGTCAGTGGCTGCTGGGGTATTGCAGATTAAAGCCTTGTGCTAGTTCTTGTAGCCCAGCTTGGCTGCTAGTCAACTTGTAGCTTCTACCCCTGGCGGGACTCTCCATGCTGGTTTGTTGCTGGGGAATATTTGGGAGGCCTGGTAAGGTAAAGCAGGTAGTACCTGAGAATCAGTCCGTGGGGTTGTTGCCTTCCAGACTCGGTTTATGTCTTGAAAGG